CAGGAATTTAGTCTTTTATCATGATGGAGGTATAACGAAAGGTAGTATCCAATTGTATCAAAAATTGCTCGCAATCTACTAACACCGTCGGTGTCTATAGTAGCATCGGAGGCTGCATTTAGTTTAGGTGATCGAGTTTTATGCGACGAACGATCAAGACTAAAAGAAGATATATTGGAGACTTTAATATGTTTGAAGGATTGAGAATGTGCGGAATTACGTCTTCGAGAATAAGTTGATAATATAATGGTCGAAGAGTTACTGCAGATTAAATGTTAAAGTATAAGATATTGTAAGTTTTTAAATTGTTTAGTTTCAAAAAAATACGTAATTTTTAATTTTTTTTAAGAAAAATTGTATATGAAATATTTTATTCGTATACAATTTTAACTCCGTCCACGATATTTGTAGTTGGTCCCAAACCCGAATAAATGAGGAGGGTTTTAACTTTTATAATTTCTTTAATTTATAACACGCATAAAATATACAATTTTTTTTTTAAATGTAGATTAAAGAAATGAGGAAAAAAAAGACGAGCCGGCTCAGCCCGCTAAGTTTTCGGCCCGAGCCTAATTTTTTTTGGCCAAGCTCGGCTAAGCTCGGGCCAAAAAAAACTCGGTTCAAAAAAGTTCGGGCTGAGCTTGAGCTTTTTTTTCTTGATTTGAGCTCGACTCGACTCGTTGACACCCCTAATTGGAACTGGGTCAACGACTCAATGATCAGATCAACGGATTAATTTCCAAATTCTTCTGTGCAATTTCATCTCTTGACGCATTCTTTGGTCTTAATTAGTTCTTCTAGTATTGAAATTTCACTTGAAGAATAAGTAATATACTTACGAAAAAGAAAATAAATTTGGAAGAAAGGGATGTGTTTTTAAAGCACTATGTTCTACAAAACTTGTAGTAGACTACGATAATCGTCTTTTACTTTTCTTTTCTTTTCTTTTTTGGACAACCGAAAATTCTTTGTGAGCTCACACTGTATTTAATCTAGTACCGAAGCTTTACTTGATTTAGTGATAAAATTTTGTTCATAAACTAGAACCTCCTCAATCACAATAGAACCCTAACTGCAACTACCTTTCATTAGCCAGTTAGGACAAATGGTCAACTTTCCCATCAAGTCGTGTCACTTGGTCCTTGTTGATCTCCGTTTTGGAAGGATTTATAAACAATTTCATTCATAAATAAAAATGAGTGGAGGATATGTGAAAGGTACTTTTGAAAATCCATTGGAAAGTTCAACCTTATACCTTAGCTTAAGAAATCAACGGGAACTAATTCAATAAACTGGATTATTTTTTATTATTAAAAAGGTTGTCTTTTTTTTTTTTTTTTTTTTTTGTGGCTAAAGTGGAACCATTTTAGACTAATGATGCGTTTGATTGACTTTATTTTTTAGGAAAAATACAAATTTTCACTCAATTTCCTACTTTTAGGGCGTTCAATTAACATTTTAAAAATAAAAATAAAATGAAATGAAAACTTATTTTAAAAAAAAGGTTTTTAAAATAAAATAAAAACTTATTTTACAATAAATATTTTTAAAATTAAAAAAAAACTTTTATTTTTGTTTTTTTAATTTATTATACCCCTTTTAAAATTAGTGAAAGTGGTAAAAAAAAAAATTGAGTGATTATGGTGAAATGTTATATAAATTAAATGATCATGGTAAAACGTTTTATGAAATTGGATAGTCATGGTGAAATAAAATCAAATTTGGTGGTTATGGTGACACTAAATATAAATGTGGATGATTACGATGAAATAAAATAAATTTGAGTAGCTATGATAATACTAAGAGTGTGTTTGGTGCACATTAAAATAGAAAGAATGCATTTTTTTGTGATATGATGGTGAATATATGGTTGAAAAATAATGAAAAGTTATTGATGTGATGAAAAATATTATTTTATTAAAAATGTGTAGTTAAAAATGAATAAAAGAATGAGAATCTGGCTCAAATGGCGGTTAAGTATCGAGTGAGTACATATAAAAACTTTTGTCATTGCATAAGGGACCCACTTTTATTTATTCAACTAATGATCCGTATTTAACTTTGATTAAAATAAATATTGATGAAATATTCAACTTCTGAATAAATACACGACTCTTTTCTTTGAACGTTGTCAGATAGTACAATATTTCATGGAATCTCGTGTGATCCGTGTCAAGACCAACGTGGCCGAATTTTTACTTTCAACAATTCATGACAACAGTAGTACAAATTGAAATGAAGTGACGAGACGTATACTGTGTGTTAGAAAGGACAAAATGGTCTCATTGTATTGTGAGCATGGGTCATGTCAGTTGTACAATCGAGTTTGACAATGCCGATTGACAACTATTGGGGGTCCACTTTTTTCTTTTTGAATTTTTTATGCATACGGACCCCACACATATGTGAGAGGCCGTCAACCTCGATTGTACAACTAGAATTTTCCTTACGAGCATAACCTAAAATTTAGGTCATGTTTGTTTCAGATTAAAATCAGATTTTAATTTAAGTCAAATTCAAGCAATCAATATTAACCACACCTTTCTGGATCTCACAACTTTTCAACCAGATATTTCAAAAACTTCTATCACAATCTACTAAAAATCTAATTTTAATCACCACCAAACATTCACTTAGTCTCTGTAATTATTTTTCGATCATGTAATCACGTCTATAGACATCAATTTGCTAACAAAACAATGTGTGCATGATCTAAACGTGCTATGCATTATATAATTTTCAAACAGTTATCAATTAGCACAGATGGAAAGATCTTAAATTGGGAATAGTTAATAATTAAACGTGCTTAGCATGGTAGTGTGATAAATGATTAAATAAATCGTGTAAAATTTAAAGACACGTGCAAATTGTTCTTCGTAATGTTTTGATGATCCATTATTTTCGTCGGTTTTCTCTAACTTACTTTTCTTTTTGTTTAAATTTATAGCATGAATATTGATCATGAGAGATTTTCAAGAGCCGAAACTAGATAAAACCCCACCAAAAATGAAGTCTCGTTTGGGTTAATTCCACCTCCAATCGATTCAAAAATGACTTCCTATTGGGAATTTATATGTACATACAGTTTTCTAAACTGAATATTAAGCTCATGTTTGACCTCCATTTTCTAAAATTTATTTTTTTAAAACTAATTTTCAACCGTATGTTTTCTCAATAAAACAATTTTGCGCGCGAATTCATATTTTTTTCTACTTTTTAATCACATTCTCTAAAAAAATTAATTTTCACAAATTATATTATGAAAAACTGTCTAATTGGAAGAATGAGTATTTCTACTTGAGATTTTATATGCATGATTCAACTAAAAGTTTTGGCCGACGTTTGCCAATATTATGGATGTAAAAATGTTTGGGTCGATGTCTCTCTTCCATCATTTCGAGATCGCTTTGTTCTTTTGGAAATAACAACTCCAAAATTTTTGAACGACAACAAGACAGTTCAATTGATAAAACTCGTATAATTATGTAGCTTTTGAGTGAGCTTGAGTCCCAACAATAGTAAAAGAACAGGTAAATTGTTTATAAATATCAACTAAATAGTAAAATGTTAATTATGTTTAGCCCATGTTCGGTCGAAATTCTTTAAACTTCATTTCTCTTAAAATTTATTTCCAATCACGCATTTTTTTATAAAATTATTTTGTACTTGAATTCAAAATTTTTTCATATTTTTTAATTACATATTCTAAAAAGAAAAATCATTTGCACAAAATTTAAAATTTGAGCAATATTGCTGGTACATAGGCGTGTACATAATGTGAGTGGGGGTGTGGCCTATGCTACAGTGTCTGGGCTCCACCACACTCACATTATGTACACGCTTATGTACACACCTATATACAAGTAGATTAATCCTTGAAATTTTCAACCACACGTTTTTCAATAATATAATTTTATACGTGAATTCATAATTGTTTTCATATATTTAAATCACATATTTTCAAATTTTCACATAATTCAATATAAAAATCTACATGACTTCAATCCACTTTAAAAAATAACTTACTCAAAAGTTGAATACACTTTGATGCTGTAAGAGCATCTCCAATGGTGATATAAAATAGAGATCCAAAGTGGTTGAAAATCTCTCAAATGGAAATATGGGAATTGCATTTTTAGCAAAAAAATTTACATACTTAAGAGGCAAGATGTAGATTTAAATATTTTTATTGGAGCAAAATTTGAATATAGATTCATCGAAATGGAAATGAGAATGCAAAAATAATTTTAAAGATACCAACTTATACCTAATTTTACATCATCATTGGAGATATTCTAAACATAAATATCTATATGAAATAAATTAGTTTTAATCAACAACTAATGATTAAACCAGAACTTGATGTGATAGAAAACAAAGCTTTCAAGATCAAAGGGCTCAATTAAAAATTCAGTAAAATACAAGGACCACAATGAAAAGGCTGGAAACCTCACATGAAATGACACTTTAGCCCATCCATTTTAGCTATTTCAAACCAGAAGTCAAGGTCTTTCTGATAATTTCAGATAGTTGACCTCCCAGCACAAGGACTTAAATGAAATTTTAACAACAAAAAGGTGCCTAAAAGTAATTTTATTATTCTGGGAGCTGCTATAAGGATATTTTTTCTGCAACTGCACCTCCATCCTCTGCAAAACAATCACTAGTGTATAGAACGACCCAACAGTTCAAGAAGAACACGAAGAACAAAAAAAATAAGAAATATGCTCTCTTTTCATTTTATGGGCCTTTAGGTATATAGATTTACATGGCATGAATATATATAAATATAATTTCTTGTATTCACTTTCTGGCTCATTTCTTGTTTTTTTAATTCTCTGCCTTAGATTATTTATAACGAAAAGTGTTTATTTTTTATTTTATGTGGGGTTTTATATGATATTTAGCATCTATATTTCAGAAGCCGAAGGCATAGAAGGAGAAGGAAGAGTTGTCATCATCAGGAACAATTTGTATTAAGTGGTATTAGGCTGCATAAGATGTCTCAAACCAACTGGGAAGCTGATAAAATGTAAGCTTTCTTCTAATACTACTGTAACTTTTCCCTAATTTTTTGTGGGATTTTTTTTTTACTTTCCTTTTTATGGCTCTATTTAACTGTTTTCTCTTAGATTTATATTCTGGATGTTTTTGGTTTTGAACATTTTGGTCAACCTCGGGGTAAAGTTCCTCTCTTTACATGGGTTTATTGATTTTTACTTATTTTTATCTTGTGTATTTTAGTATTCTTTATTTTTTGTGTTTATAGCCTTTCAGGTTTTAGTTTAAAACAATGGACTTCTTTTATCATTTATCGCTGATTTATTTTTATTAAGAATGTATTAGTTGGTTATCTTGTCAAACTCTCAGGTATATTCATTTTACCTTTCATTTGGTTTTTATGGTATTTAAATTGTCTGTTGTTTGTATATCAGTGTTCAGAGTTGTCTCGTGATGGTAATGTAAATTTTACTTTTAGGCTTTTATATTTCTCCTTTTGTGCTGAAGTATCTTTGATTGTCTTTATAGTTGTTTTCTAAAATTATTAGTTTGTTATGCTTGTAAAGTTTCAGCATTTCTTATAGTTAATGTCATGCTATTCATTCTATAATTTTTGCCATTTTGATACTAGGTTGGATGTCTATATCCATGATTATTTAGTTAAGAGAGATTTAAAGGCATCGGCTCAAGCTTTCCAAGCTGAAGGAAAAGTATCATCCGACCCCGTTGGTAAGATTTCTGAAAGTTTAACTGAAAGTTTTTTGTTGTCAGGAGTTCCTTTTCCTGATTAATTATTTTTATGTCTTGTTTATTTCAGCCATCGATGCTCCAGGCGGCTTTCTCTTTGAATGGTGGTCAGTTTTTTGGGATATATTTATTGCCAGGACAAATGAGAAGCACTCAGATGTTGCTGCATCTTACATTGAGGTCAGTTGAAACTTGAAAGTTTAGAAACTCGATCAATGGACATTGACGTTCTAGTTGATTTGATAATATAATGAGTAATCTCTGACTTAAGTCATAGTAAAAAAATAGTTAAACTTGCAACTGAAGGTAACTGAGCATAGCTCATTTTATTGATAAGCTTTAATTTTCACAAATTGCATGAACTATTGCAGCTGAGGTGAATAGCAAACTTACCAAGTAAAATTTAGCTGATGAGTATATTTATCCCTTCATGTTATGTCGACTTTTTTCTTGTTACCTAATCAGTTTTGTCTAACTTCATAGGTGTATATTGCTACTGCCAATACCATAAAATGCCCAAGTCCATCTCCATACATATGAATGTTTAAGATTTGTGTTCCCATCTTGTGGAAAGTGTTGGAACTTGGAAGGTTGAAGTTTGCTACATATGATGCTGTTACATTATTGCCGTCGAACTATCCGCGAAGCCTTGTATTTTTTGTCATATTTTTGTGCCATAAGTCAATATGAAATCTCTGTACTTAGCCTGAAAGGAACTTGTCACCTGCAATGTGAAGCTTTTTTTATTAACACGAGCATAATGCAGAAAAGTTTGTATTTATTTAATTTTTCTTTGAAGCATTGCATTCCCCAGTGCTAAGAAATATGGCATCTCCCAGAAAATTAATAGAAATTAATTATTATTGTCCATGACACCACTCATGGTCTCTGTGTTCTATTTTGCGAGTTACTGGCTATATTTGTTACTTTCCATCTCCCTATAACCATAGGTTTCTTGTAGTAAACAAAAAATTATCAAGTGCATGTGTATAATATGGATAACATACTCTCCCAAGTTGGAAAAGCAAAAGTAGACTGATGCTAAGAGGAGCAAGCATTCTGAGGTTGAAATTTAATGGAGTTACTTCACCATGTGATTTACGTTCAATTCAATTCCTTATTTGCCACAAAGTTTTAAAGTGCAGACTCAGCTAGTGAAGTCAAGGGAGCAACAGCAACAGCAACATCAACAACCGCATCATCAACAGCAATCTCAACAGCCACAAACTCCACAGCAGCAGCAAATGCAGATGCAGCAGCTTTTATTGCAGAGGCAGGCTCAGCAGCATCAACAACAGCAACAGCAGCAGCAGCAGCAACAGGAACAACAGCAACAAGCACAGCAGAGGCGAGATGGACCCCACCCGAATGGTATGGCTAATGGAATTGTTGGAAATGATTCTCTTATGAGACAGAATTCTGGGACTGCCAGCACGTTGGCAACTAAAATGTACGAGGAGAGGTTAAAGATGCCTGTTCAGAGGGATTCTTTGGAAGATGCAGCTTTGAAAGTATGTATCAGATCTTATTGTTCGAGAAATATCATCTTTTGTTTCAGTTGCTTATAGTAATATTATTTATTTCAGCAAAGATTTGGTGATAATGTTGGTCAGCTTTTGGATCCAAATCATGCTTCAATTTTAAAATCAGCTGCAGCAGCTGGCCAGCCGTCTGGGTACTGTTCTGTACAATATTCACTTATTTATGGGCATTCGTTCATATCGTGAAACTGAAACGAATTCTGCAGTTGATTTTTGCACTTGGCATCACTATGGAAACTTCATGAGAATATTATTGATTCATATTTATGACTTGGTAGAAAGTTTTTTATATAGATCTTGGGAGAGCAATACCTCAAAAGTTAGCAATTGAAGTTGGAGAACCCAAGTTTATATAAACCACACACTGAAAGCCCATACTTTCGATGTGGGGTTCAAGTCACATACCTTGTAACGGGAATCATAATAGTTTTCTGATTAAATGTTAATTTTAATTATTCGCTGCAAATTTCCCGTTTCTCCCTCTCTGTGGGTGTGTATCTAAGCATCCGTGCTTGTAGACATGCAAATGTACTGTTTATGTTTTGATAAGTATTCTTAGTTTTTACTTAATAGAGTGAAACTGATGTGACTTTGTGATGTTATTGCTTGGCTTTGTGGTATTACTCAAGACTACTATAAAATTTACTGTTTCATCTTGAGAAAGAGGGATGTAGTGAAGCGTAATGTAATCTTTTTTCTTTGTTTGATATTACATTGATCCTTGATTTGATCAATGGTGTATCAGTGTTCTATAACATTGATCCTTGATTTGATCAATGGTGTATCAGTGTTCTATCTATAGCTTCTTATTGGCAACCATGAATTCCTAATTTCAGGCAAGTGCTGCATGGTACGGCTGGCGGAATGACTCCTCAAGTTCAAGCTCGTAGTCAGCTTCCAGGGTCTACACCAGTCAGTATTTTATTTCCCAATGTTTATTTCTTGAGAAAAGTGTTATGCTAGTTGTAACTGGACTTGCCTTTAATCTCTTTTCACATTTTTGTGTGAACAGGATATAAAAACTGAAATGAATGCGTCGGTACTGAATCCCAGAGCTGCGGGTCCTGATGGGTCTCATACTGGAATCCCTGGTACTCTGTCTATCAGTTAGTTTGAAATGACCATTATTTCTATTGCTTCATTCGTTCGAGAACAAAAATGGTTGAATGTATATTTGTATTTTCTCTCATTTCACTGAAGAAATAGTTGTATTATCATTTTGGACTGACCATTATTTCTATAATGATTGATTGATTCGATAATAGAAAGTTGAATTTGTTGTCACTCATTGCACTTAATTAAAGAAATATTTGTTTATCCTTTTTAAGTAAAGATCATATTGAAGATATGTTGGGTATAGACAAAGCTAGATGAATATAATTTTAAAACAATAGCTAGATTTCTGTCACTAATTTTATGGATGTGCAAGGCGATGCTGTAACTAATATGACTCTTTGTTCTAGGTTCAAATCAAGGTGGCAACAATTTGACATTGAAAGGATGGCCGCTAACTGTAAGTATATTATGGTTCAGATGCTCTTTTCTCTCCTCAATTTAGTGTAATTATAAATTGGTTCCTGTGAAGTAGCATCTCAAATACCAAAATCATAAGGGATTGAAATTTCGTAAGCAGTCCAAAAATATCACGCGTGCAGGGCATGATGTATGGAACATACTTCTGTTTTATGATCCAGTATTTGGTGATGTAGACTTCTAGGAGCTGTTCTTCTACCATTTCCCAACTAAACATTGGTATTTTCTCCTGGTCTTTTTTTTTTTTTCCAAAGGGATCAAAGGATTTCACCCCTCCCCCACTCCTGGTATATTAAGATTAGATAGATGTGGCGTAAACTTTGGAAATATTTCTTCGTTAAATAAAGGTGACTTGGCTGGTACTATAGTGGGACTGTAGTCCAAAAGGGCTTTATGGAAGTTTTTCTTTTATTTTCATTTTTAATTAATCTTTGTCGTTTGAATTTCATCAGAAATTTAATTAGTACTGGAGGCTTTGTGGAGGACGTTGCTCTATAAACTGTTAAACACGATGCTGAGCTGGAAGCTTTTCCGTAGAAAATGTTAGCGTTTAACCACGCCCTCATGAGGGTGAATACTTTTTATATGAACACCGTTATGAACATATTTAATGGTTTAATACTAATGTATCTCCTTGGAGTGGGATTTGAAAAATACTCAAATCTTCCTGCAAGGGCAAGGTGTCTTTAAAATTGATTTGTCGATTTTTTTTATATATATATACTTTCACTGAAAATGGTTTCCTTGGTTGGTTGTAAGGCAAGGAATGTGACACCGAGTTCTCCTTGTAGATCAAATATTATTCGCAATGGATTTAATGGTAAATATATTTTCATCTCTTTATCAGTCTCTGTGTTTTTTGCCTAATTTGCCAGGGTCTCGATCAGCTTCGCTCTGGACTTCCTCAACAGCAGAAGTCATTCATGCCGGGTTCTCAGCTATTTCATCAACTACAGATGCTAACACCCCAGCACCAACAGCAGCTTATGCTTGCACAGCAGAATTTGACTTCTCCATCAGCCTGTGATGTGGACAGCAGAAGGCTGAGAATGCTTATGAATAATAGAAGTATGTCTATGGGAAAGGATAGCATTTCTAATTCAGTTGGCGATGTAGTTCCTAACATTGGATCACCCTTGCAATCTGGTTGCCCTCCTTTGACTCGTGCTGACCCGGATATGTTACTAAAGGTGCCCTTTTCTGCTTGGCATCTGTGTTTGTAATCTTGTCGTGTTTGGTATGATGCATTGGATGGTAACGAACAGGATTAAGAAGTTAAAATCTTATTATATTTTCTACTCCTGTCTGATCCAGCAATGTGTTCCAGACATGCCTTTATTGTTTAAATCTGCAGACTTATTTGTTTGACAATGTCTTGTCACAAATTTTCTCACAAGAAATGAGTCTTTGAAATTGTTGAAGGATTCTGGGTTGATTTAGATAACTGTGACTATCCATTTCTTGTGTAGTTGAAAATGGCACAACTGCAACAGCAAAATGGCAATCAAATGCAGCAGCAGCTTCAGCAGCTTGCACTTTCTGGTCAGCAACCCCTAAGTTCAAACAACAATCTTCAGCAAGAGAAAATTATGGGTACCAGCAGTGTGACTGGTGATGGCAGCATGTCAAATTCCTTCCGGGGAGGTGATCAGGTCTATCCTTTTCCTTCTTACTAGAAAAATTAGTGGCAGCATAGTATCCCAAAATGTGTGTTTTATCATTTTCTGTCTATCTGAATCGATAAATGTGCAAGAATCAGGAGTCGGTGTTTAACTTTAATGAGGCTGCTTTCCTTGAATCATTTAGTGTTGAATTTTCAAGTATTGCTAACATTATATGCAACCCCTCCATATACTTATCATACACAAATGCCCATGCCTCAATTTTTTTTATTTGTTGTAACTATTCATTGTCGATAAGTCATTTTACAATTATCCATTGATTATGATACAATAATAACAGATATCTCATTAGTTTAGTATTAGCTTAACAGTTTTTACTTGCCTATACCTATAGATAGAAATTTTTAAATGCCTTTAACATTCATTTACTGGTAGTTATTTGTGGAGCCTTGTCGGGTTGAAGATTTGACATAATCCCTCTTTTTCTTCAAACTAAAAATTACATAATCTAGGTCTCTCTTTGGTTAAATGTATAAAAGTACAAACACAATTCATCTGTGGCAAGAAATGTTCCTACATCAAATGTTCGGCAATTTTTGATCCGCAATAATTAACATCACTCAGGTGCTACTTCGGAGACATGCCAAAAATACACATTTATTATGCGTGAAAAGGAGTGGATTTTGCTTTATTTTTTGTAGTTTGATTTATATCTTACCTTAACTATCAGTTGTAAGGAAATTTTCCGTGTTGTTATTTTTTCAACTTTTTGTTTCTATCAAGGAATTTTAAGGATAAAGATACCTGGCATTTCTAAATAATGTATACCGATAATTTGATACTGTCAGTGATATTAAAGTTCCTATTTACATTTTGCTCCCTATTCTCCAATTTTTCTTGACGTTTTCTCTTTGGTTCTACATCAATTGATATCATAACCTAGTTGTTCCTCTTACTGAACCCTTCTTGAAAGCTACAAGTTTCAGTATTGTTTGTTGGCACAAAAAACAAATGTTCACGGTATTGCTCGCTCCGTTTTTGTTGGAACGATACGCATAGCTTAGCTTGTCGGAATTGAGTTCTACATCACTATCATGCTGCGATTATTTCAGGCTGATCAGAGATTACGGGTTAAATTTCGTTAAAGCGTTCGTGTAATTTTTATTTTTTTATAAATCCAAATTTTAGGTTGGTTTGGCCATATGATAATGGATGCAAGGATTCTCTCTCTTCAAGGCGCAATTTCTGTAATTAGCTTCCAATGGTGCGTGGTTCAGATTATTGTAGTTGAACACTCTGATCCTAACAGTAGCCCTAATCTTTCTGGCAAGGAAGACAGAGGAAAAAAAAGAAAAGAAATAGATATAACCAATAGAATATCATAATAATATGCAAGTTATGTGCTTGGGAAAGCTCACTCTGCACTAGTTGGTTGAGACTGTCTTGTTCTGTTCAACTGGACAGAAGGAATTTTTCACATTAAAGAACTACCTTTCTAATTCATAATTCTCAAAGTATGATTATCTAGAATTCTGGTTTATTTACGAACCTCCAACAAAGCTGTACCTGTTTCAAGTTTGCATCATCCTGAAAATAATACTTAACCAATCCATGGTTATGTGTGGTCGCAATACTTATTTCAAGCAAGATACTGTTAAGCCACCAGATTCTAGATGGTTTAACAACTATTCGTCAGTGCATTTATACTACGTTTTGAGATGGTGGTAATTCCTAAGTCCTAACAAGATCTGTCATGTTTTTCAAGACTTCAAAAAACCAGACTGGAAGAAAGAGAAAACAGCCGGTCTCATCTTCAGGGCCTGCCAATAGCTCAGGAACTGCGAACACGACAGGACCATCTCCAAGCTCAGCACCCTCGACGCCCTCAACTCATACGCCTGGAGATGTGATGTCCATGCCTACCTTGCCGCATGGTGGCAGTTCTTCAAAGCCTCTAATGATGTTTGGTGCTGATAATACTGTTACACTCACATCACCATCAAATCAATTAGTGAGAATAGTCTTTCGATCTTCTTCTCTGATTGGATAAAATTTTTAATTAACTATACGTTCTCACTGAGGCATTGCCGTTTAATTTTGTCAGTGGGATGATAAAGATCTCGTGCAAGCTGATATGGACGGTTTCGTGGATGATGTCGAAGAGAATGTTGAGTCTTTTTTGTCTCAAGATGATGCGGACCCTCGAGATACGGTTAGCCGTTGTATGGATGTTAGCAAAGGTAACTTAAGATGCTGCCTATATGCTTGAGCTTATAAAGTCCTAGATTTCTAAGCACTTTTGTGATAAGTTATTTCATGTCAACCGTGTTTGATCTGGTATTGCACACTTTTCGGTTTCTAGTTCAACTCAAGTTATTCAAATTATTTTCAGTTTTCTGCTTTTTGTTTGTCACAGCACGTGGGATGATTCAATGTATTTGGTACTTCCCTTTCAACCTTTATATACAACACTTGAACTATAGGAGCATTACCTGTATCTGTTACTGATGATTGTATACTTGTCTATATACAATGATGTAGATGTATGAAAATAGGAGCATACAATTCTTTTATGCTAACACTGCAACAATTTTGATTATTATTATTTTATTTTTATTTTTTTGCAATTTGTTCCCAAGTCATCATGTGATTATTTGCTTTTGTAATCGTGCCCACCTGCACTTTTCTAGTCAACATTCACAATTTCCCATTCGCCTCCTTTGAAGCTTTCAGCCGGTATACTAAAATTAAAGATATGCGTATACATACATATATATGTGTGGAGAGAGAGGGGATAAAACCAGAAGAGAATATAAGCTCTTAGAGAGCTTTCTTATGAGTGAGACTTGGGGAAAGAAATTGAATTTTAATTTTTTGTCCAATATATCCATTTAGTGTTTTCTAATTGGAATTACATGCTATTCAGGGTTCACATTTACAGAAGTGAGTTCCTTACGTGCTAGTAATAGCAAAGTTGTGTGTTGCCACTTCTCGTCAGATGGAAAGTTGCTTGCTAGTGGCGGTCACGATAAAAAGGTGGGGTTGAAAAAGCTGATAATTTCAATATAAAAGATCATGTATTTTGTTACCTCTAATTATTCAACTTGGGACTTTGTTGTTTGTCAGTGTTGAGTTACTTGGCTTTTGGAAATAATATAGAACTTTTCGTAATCATGTAGGCTGTTTTGTGGTTTGCTGATACTTTGAAGCCAAAAACTACACTTGAAGAACACTCATCTTTTATTACGGACGTTCGCTTCAGTCCTAGCATGGCTCGCCTTGCAACATCATCTTTTGACAAAACTGTCAGAGTTTGGGATGCAGACAATGTTGGTCGACATATATTTTTTATATATTGATCATTTTTATTCTCTCCTTCAGAACTTTTCATTTCCTTGTAGGCTGTTATATTTCATTGCTTGAAGCATTTAGCATCGTTTTCTATTTTCTATCTGGAAGATTTTTCTTCAATAAGAAGAATGCATTCATTTGAACCTCAACTATTTCTTGGTATGCCAAGGGTGCAATTCCAATCAACATTATTATGTATTTGATGCACAACTCAGGTAATTTCCGAATAATATGTGATGTTATGTAAAGGATGTCATAGTATTGGTTGCAAGAGTAGTTACAGCGTCTCGATTTGCACCTGAGGTGTTTTAAGAGATCTTATTCCTTTTACATGTGGGTATTAAAATGTGTCCATGATGCCCTAAACTCCTCATTCTTTGAACAATATATTGTCATTAGGAATAAGTAGATGGTATGTTGAGCTATGCTTAGCTTGAACTAAACTTTCTTGTTTCTAAAATTGTATGTTATTTTCCATGTCTACTTGGTTTTTATATAAATTTCCTGAGAAATTTGAATTGATTTTATGTAATGGTGTCCTTGTATTCATGCCATTAACATATATTGCAGCCTAGCTATTCACTTCGTACCTTCACTGGCCATTCCGCTGGTGTAATGTCATTAGATTTCCACCCAAAAAATGAAGATCTGATCTGCTCGTGTGATGGTGATGGTCAGATAAGATACTGGAGCATTATTAATGGTAACTGTGCAAAAGTTTTCAAGGTATAAAGATAAAAAAGAAAAAAATATATATATGTCAAGAGACCGTCACTTTATATTAATCAGTTGAGTCTGAATTTCATTCTCTTTGGATTAGGGTGGTACAGCTCAGGTTAGATTCCAGCCCCGTATTGGGAGATATCTTGCTGCAGCCGCTGAGAATGTTGTATCAATATTGGATGCAGAGACGCAGACATGCTGGCATTCACTGAAGGTTAATTTAATTTTATTGTGAATACTAGAAAAATGGGCATAAATGATTTCAAAATGTTGGTGATTTATAATAAAATACTAGACTTGCACCTTCACAGTTAAAAACTAAAGTGCAAGCGTCAAGGAAAAAAACCCAAATGAATTTAGTATTGGTTTGTTTCTTTGGTGGAGCCGCCATAGGTAATATTTACATAGCACATATATTAGTATTTGCGAGGGAGGTATATTGTACCTATACAATCTTCTTCCCATTATTAATTGAGACGCGACTCGTTTGCTTTTCCAGTGCGGTGTATTATAACTAATGATATTATCATTACAGGGTCACACGAAACCAATTCAATCTATTTGCTGGGATCCTTCTGGTGAGCTCCTGGCATCTGTTAGTGAAGATTCGGCGAGAGTCTGGACACTGAGGTCTGGCAGTGAAGGGGAATGTTTGCATGAGCTGAGTTGTAATGGCAACAAGTTCCACTCGTGTGTTTTCCATCCGACGTATTCTACATTGCTAGTTATTGGCTGTTACCAGGCGAGTTATCTCTATTATTGCATTTGACTAATTTTACAAATGGAATTTTTTTTTAATTATTGCAATTTTAAGAAAATAGAAAAATGAAAAAGAAAGCAAGTAGAAAATTTGAACGTGATTAACTTGGTCTGAGAGAAGCCTGTTGAGTTAAATTAAGATATTTTTTATCTTTTTTATTTATATTTTAGTTTATTACGTCACTTCTTGCCAAAGGTGGATATGATTGTATCATTCATCCAAATAGTGTGGTTGATGAAACCATGAATGGAAAGTCCTACTGTAGTTTGGGGTCATGAACCTAACTAATCACATGTTCAATGAAGAGTTACTTGCCTCGAGAAGCTAGAAGTTGATCCGAATGCGAATGTGTAAGGTTCACGTTGACCCCGACTAGCATAGAATTTTCCAACAAATGTTGCACGGTCATGATCAATTGTGACATATCTAATTTAAACGCCCCATGTTCCATTTACACTATGCTTATATTTGGCTAAGCATTAAAAAAAGTAGGAAGTATTATTTTGGAAAGGAAGTTGTTGGACTTAAAATCTCAGGAGAAAAATTGTTGCATGTACAAAAGCTCCCATGTTTGGCAAAAAAAAGTTAATTATATTTAACTTTTGGGCTTAGTAATACTTTTCAGTTCCTGATATTCCTTTCTTACAAGTGCATGTTTCTTGCAAAGTAGAAGTATTATTTTGGAAAGGAAGTTGTTGGGACTTAAAATCTCAGGAGAAAAATTGTAGCTTGTAAAAAAAAATGTTTCGTCAAAAAAGTTACTTATAATTAACCTGAACTTATCAATACTCATCAGTTCTATGAGATTTATTTCTTTTTAAGTGCATATTTCTTACAGTCGCTGGAGCTTTGGAACACAAATGAGAACAAGACTATGACCCTTCCATCACACGACGGATTGATTGCTTCTTTGGCTGCAACACCAGTGGCGGGTTTGGTTGCTTCTGCTAGTCACGACAAAGTTGTTAAGCTTTGGAAGTGACAATGGTCTTGGCTTCTCTTCCTTGTACAAAAACCACTGTTTTTGTGGGATCTCAAAGAATGCACTGTGTTTGTTTCGTAGCTATATTTTGATTTTAATGGTAGTTATTTTATTGCCACATTTTCATGCAACTCTTGTACTGTTGTACTATGGCCTCCGCTGCTCCTGTTTATCAGTTGAATTAGTGCTTACTGTAAAAATTCTACCCAGAATCAGCCGAAGCTCAATTCATTTTGATTTTCAGTTGACTTTTATGGAGACCTTTCAAGCACTTTTTAAGTAGCTTATTTGGCAGTATTTTGTACATGGTTTTGATTTGTTGTTTATATTAATACTTGAATTGAATATGCTGATGAGCAATTTTTGGCAATTTAATCTACTCTCTAATGGCATGCTTATCAAAGATCAATCTTAAAAAGAATTGGTGTGATTTTTAGCCAATATTCTTCAGTATTCAAAAATCAATCGAACAATTAAGTTGATATCGATGAACATATATATTTTTTTCTTGTAGTGAGATGATGAAATAATTATCTCGAGCACAAAAATCCAAAAGAACATGTTTTGCTAAGCCTAAAGGTTGAATTATTAGTTGACTTCCAAGTAACAAGTTATGAAGTTATTTTGAATGGTTAAAATTAAAAATAAGCAAGTTATTCAAAGGATCGAATTTAATATATCTTCATTTTCTTGATATTTCTCGATTTACTTGTTAAATACAATTTAAATTTAAAAATGTAAAAATAGAAGTGTGGAGATCACTTTCCCAACTACATTCCGAGAAATCCCCGCCCCATCGGAGATGAGCAATGTGTAGTCGAGTCACAATGTACAAATTGGGGCCACATAATGGTTAACCCAAATGTCCAAATTAAATAGTCATAGTGCACAGACAAACACAACTTGTGGTCCTATGAAGTTAAATACGTGATGCAATGGAGCTTTAGTCCTCATTATTGAGATAATGCTTTGAATAGTAATTTTTTAAAAAATATGTGATTAAAAAGTAGAGAAAAAATTTGAATTTGCATGCAAAATATTTTATTACGTAAATGTGCAGTTGAATATAAATATGAGAATTTAAGAATTTTATTTTAAAGGGAGACAGTGGTTTAGAATGACCGATTGATGGTGACAGATAAAAACTCTTTAAATAAAGAAATCAAAAATTAATTAAAAAAACCTTTAAATAAAGAAATAGAAAATTAATTTCAAAGAAAACTTGAAAAACTAAAATTTGAATGGAAATAACTTCGAATTTAACCATTAAACACGACTAGCAAACCAATTAATTATTATCATGGTCTTGAAGTATTGGCTTGGGCACCAAGGGATGAAATATTTTGTTCGAGTCTACCTAGAAAAGTGACATCGGTCTTGATTTTATTATTCCAATTTATGAAAGGTACATTATTAAAAACAAACCAAGTTCATGAAGTTTCAAGTGGGAATCAAACCATGTGGGCCCATTTGCATATAAAAATGCGTCTTTATATATATACACGTGTGTGTACGTGTGTGTGTGAGTGATGTATTTGGTACATAATACTAAAAAATATAATTAATACAAATAAATATTATTAGGTCGTGTCGAACTAACTAATAATAGTAAGCTTGTAAGTTATTTTTCTTCATTCTTTTTTTTTTTTCCCTCCTACCTTATCGTTTTCCTTCTTCTTTTCCTATGTAAGATCACGACAACAGAATAAGGATGTTTTCTTCATTCAACCTTCATTTTCCTAATACAAATTAATGGTTTCAAATTAATTTCAGATAAATTAAAATATTAAATAAAAGAGTTTGAATATATATTTCAAATGAAACTCAATAAATTTGAATTGAGATCATTTTTTGAAGATAACAGATGTTTGGTTACACGAACGAATTGAGTAGTTGATCTGCAAAATTGAAAGTAATTTATGATGGAACGCCAATACATAGTAAAACTTTTCAAAACCTTATTAGCTTCCACAAAAACTTTTCACAACAATTAGCAAGTTTTCTATGATTGTTTTGAGCTAAGAATACTACTTTTCGCAGTAAAAAATTTTCAAGCATACACAAGAGTGAAAAGAAATAAAAATACATAAGAAGCCACTTAGCAAGCTCGACTCACATGCACATAGGAGGGCTATCGAGTTGTGAGTGGGAAGATGGAGAAGACTCGAATAAATTTGAAACAATTTCATCTAGGCAACTTAATCATTATGCACGACAAGTGAACCGCGTGATAAAAAAAAATCATTTTCAAACTGCGTGCGTAATAAAACTACTCATTTTTCCCGGTCAAAATTTTCAAGCATACACAAGTTGAAAACAAATTAATAAAATAAAAAGCACCTAGCAAGCTCAACGTACATCCACATAGGAGGAATATCGAGGGGTGAGAGGGAAGATGGATAAGATTCAGATATACTAGAAGTAATTTCGTCAAGGCAGTTTAGACATTATGCACGATGAGCAAACCAAATAACTATCATCATCCTCAACTCATGATAAATGAATTGTGATGCTGAATGCTATAAAAACAATATTTTCAAGGCGCGTGTTAAAACTGAAAAGTAATCATGTGCTTGCGTGCTAAGACTACTCATTTTTCCTAGTCAAGATTTTCAAGTATACACAAAGGTGAAAAGAAATTAAGCTCCGGTTTGAGCCACATTCTAGTTTTCATTCTCATTCTTCTACTTATTTTCAATAACACATTCTTTAATAGAATAATATTTTTCATTACATCAATAACTTTTCCTTCTTTTTCAACTACAAATTCACCATCACATTACCAACAAAAAAATGCATTCTCTACCAAAAAATGTGCATCAAACACACTCAGAAACCACTCAGCAAGCTCAATGCACATGCACATAGGAGGGATATCGAGTGGAGAGAGAAGATAGAGAAGACTCAAATACATTAGAAGTAATTTCGTCAAGTCATTATGCACGACGAGCGAACCAAATAACTATCATCATCGCCTTCAACTTGTGAGAAATGAAATAGTCATAGAGTGAGCGTGCGTGTTAAAAAATTAATTTCAAGATGTGTGCTAAAAGTAATCTTGTGCGTTCCTGCTAAGACTAATCATTTTTTGCCATCCAAAATTTCAAGTATTTATGGCAAAATTTCAAGTATTTACAAAGGTGAAAAGAAATAAAAACATAAATTAAAAAGCCACATAGCAAGCACGCACATGCACATAGGAGGGCTATCGAATGGTAAGTGAGAAGATGGAGAAGACTCAGATAAATTTGAAGCGATTTCGTCAAGGCAACTTAGCCATTAAGCACGACGAGCGAACCAAATTACTATCATCATCGTCCTCAATTCATAATAAATAAAATTAGGATACTGTGTGTGAGTGTGCGTGCATTCTAAGACTACTATTTTTTTCCGTAAAAAGTTTCAAGCATATATAAAGGTGAAAAGAAATAAAAATAAAAAAGCCACTCTGCAAGCTCAAGGCAAACGCACATAGGACTATTGAGTTGTGAGTGAGAAGATGGAGAAGACTCAGTTACGTTTGAAGAAATTTCGTCAAGGCAGTTTAACCATTATGCACGACGAGCGAACCAAATAATATCATCATCGTCCTCAACTCATGATAAATAAAACTGTGATACTGCTTGTGTACGTGTGTGAATGCAAGATATAAAACGATATTAAATGGGAAAGAAAACATAAAGATGGAAAAGAAACGCATCACTTTCTTCTTATGTTATGACTTGTATTGTAGGAAAGTGTGGTGCAAATTTATAATGGCAATACTGGCTTGGGCACCAAGCCGTAGGATATTTATATTCATTATTCAAAGTCTTAAAGCAAAAAATTCGTAATTTCACTATTCAAATAATGAAAGAGTAGGGTTCTATTATATTACTCAAAATTCGAAAGTAGGTAGATCGTGGGCCGTTTGAATAGTTTATTTGGATTCAACATTAATTTCATTTTGAAAGCACAATATTTTTTATTATATTAAAAGAAAAGGGTTGAACCCCAACCTTGAGAGTCCCCACCGCCCCGCCTCTAGAGGATTGTGGACGAGGTAAATCGTGGGATGTGTCTCAGGAGGTCAGGGTACAGGAACTGTCATATTGATGCTCACAAAGAGTCCAATTTTTTACCTTGTAAGAAGCAGAAATCGAACCCTCACATTGCGACTGACGGCTCAGCTGAAACTACATCACTTATGTCATTTGCACCACTGAGCTATGCCCCGGGGGGACAATCTATTTTTTATTATTCTTTTACTCAAAAGTGGTTTCCGGCATACATTTATTTTTAGTAATATTTGTAAAGTTTGACTAAAACATTTTGTGTAAACTTTTTATATTTAAACATAATTTTCTAAGATTATAATTTACTCTTTTTGATTAAATTTCTATGGAAGTGTTGAGAAGAAAATGAAAACTTGCTTAAAAGAAACTTTATTATCTGTTTGGTTTATATATAATCCAGCAAACATGCTACTAACTTGAGAAATTGCTTAGGCAATATCAAATTTGGAAGTCCGTCAGTAACATTCTTGGAACTTAGGCAACCGCCTTACTTGACTGGATTTTTTGTCCAAAAAGTAGTAGATGCCTTTGATTTGAAACGCATTGAATATAAAGAAATAGGTTTGTCGATGTTTACCTCAAAATTTCTCCCATCTAATCAGAATTCTTCCTTCTAAAAATTTTCTAAATTTCTTACTTGAGCAAAAATAAGGAGAGAGGAAAGAGAATGTATTCAATTTTTCATCGGCTGGTTGTTTTATTTGATACACCACATTTTAATTACTGATGAACTCCTAGCATTTATTTCCGTAACTTCTTTCCATCAAATTCTTATCTTCAACATTCCTTCAATTAGTACGTCTCGTCCTTGATTATGATTTATATCAAAATATTTTGTTTTCATACTTTGAAAAAAGGAAAAAAAAGATATTTTTTTGCACTTTTATTTATTTATTTTATAGAAATACAATGAAAAAATTAAGTCATTTTACGTCATTTCAATAGATTTTTGAACATATATAAATGATGAAAAAATTGTGGTGTGCATATATATTTACTATTTTTCATATCCTTCTTTATTCTCAATTATACCTATATATAGATTTCTTATGAAACATTGAGGGTGATTAAGTCTTTATCCATTGTTATTCGTGTATTCTTATTTGTTGATATGGAATTACTTTTTGAAATAAAATATAAGTATAAATACTCTTGCGTCCGTATGTATATTTTGCTAATTGTTTGTGTTTCGTATTATGAAGGCTTGCTGATAATGATCTAGATTCGTAATGACCTTTTAAATTTATTAAAAGCATTCGTGCTGTAGACTCGCAAAGGGTGGCGATATGATAACTATTAAAATTCCCGTCACTAATCTCTGTAAAATTAATTGATAATAGTCGAGATCTACTTATTAGTTTTGCTTGTAGATGAAAATATAGAAAAAGGTGTGAGAAGACAGATGATATATTAAACAAGTCGGGAGATTTGAAAATTGAGTTAGAATAAGTTAAGACGGATTTAGACGGGACAAGAGTAAAGTTGGTGACTATAAAAATGTGACACCCAGAGTCGCATACAAAGTTGTACTATGATGCACTTCCCGTGCCTTAACAATGTGTGTTCCATCTGCTCCAGGTGTAATTTATGGACCTTTGCTAGAATTTATGTACATATAGCATGTTCATTTAAATTCCTGTAATTCAAATAAAGATTATGCTACATACATATAAAGGTTAACATAACGGTTTACACATATGCGAGTTGACAGATTTTTGCATATTGATTTTGATAGCAATTTTTTAAATCAACGGCCAGATTTTTGACACATAATAGGGTGTCAATCAACGTGTACACTTTGTGTGTACAAGTAGTTTAATCGTTCAAATGGATTGACACGCGTACATTTGTCAAGCTGTCATGTACAAAACATCTGTACAGATAACTTAATCATAATTTATGGGCGTGGACGTGTTACCCGACCCCACGCCCCCTCTCACAATGGGAGGCCGCCTCATTTTTTAATTCATCTGGGCCCCCCTCATTGTGAGGGGGGCGGTGGGGCCATGTACCCTGACGTTTACACAAATGGCCTTACCCATAATTTATTCCATTGTCCATAATCAAAGAAAATGTCGAAGGCAGCCGCCGGTTGTTGAGATGTCCTCTCATGTTCTTCCAACGCTATCATTGTTTTTGACATTACGACTTTGCCTAGGGTCTTGCAACCACGTCCCTAAAGATGGGAACCAGTCACTCACAACCTCGCATCATTTGCTACTTTTCATTCTTTGATTTTTTGGTTCGATTATAATCCGATGTATATTGTGCTTTAAGTTCCCCATGTAACCTGAAAAACAAATTAAGATGAAAGTAAAACTATTTTGATAAAAATAAAAATAAATACTATAACTTATTCTACCATCAAACTAAGTTATTTGAAGGAGCTAAATAGATAGAAAATATTGTTAATATCTCATAATTTGACTAGACATAAACCATGCTAAAACCAGTAACAGTTAGTTTATCTGTTCCAATCACTTGAAATTTTTACTTTACTAAAAAATAAACACAAAACAAGGAAGCAAAATGCAGCTGAGCAAATTAGAATATAAAATAACGATTAAGAATCAATAAGCTGATATCGCAAAGTAGTTGTTCAACATCTAATTACTCTTTTAAGAGTTTTTTTTGAAATAAGTAGACAGTAAATAACAGCAGAACAATAGAAAATTTCTGAAGACAAAATCACGATTTGCTCTCGGAACCACTCCACACGCTTAAGTTACAACATTAACAAAATGCATAGGCAAAAAGAACAAAACTGCAATCAGTTGGGAGGTTAAGAGAAGCTTCAAAGAGCCTATCGTCTCCTCATACCGCGCCCACGTCCACGAAAAGCAGCTCCCCCACGTCCTCTGCCGCCCATAGCGCTAGCAGCAGCTTCTCCTTGCGCACTCTCGGACTGCATTGATCGAAATGGCAGAGGCGATTAGAGTTCACATAAATGTACAAGGAACGCTATTACTAGAAGTGAAAAGTGTGCTTAGAAGATCATCTTATAACTACAGAGAGATTGAGACGTAAGATTTCACACTAATTTAGAAAAAGAAACCAAGAATAGTAAATACACTCATCTTTCATTTTCCTTTGATTGGATAAGAATATATTTCAGCAGGTACCCTTTTCGTCCCAAGCCCAATAATTAAAGGCATGAATTTACCATAATAATATGGTTTTGTCAAATCGTAGATGTACTTCTACACCTTCGCTTCGTACTGTACAGGAATAGTACTATTAAAGCCATCAGCACAAAAAAGTATACCTTTGGGTTTTTCACAGTTTCATCAACGCTTAAGACAAGGCAAGCTGCTTCCGTTGCAGCATTTATTGCATTTATCTGTGAAGAGAACCGAGTATGTTAAATGCAAACATCTGATAATCAACAATGCCACATAAAACTGCAGGGGATAAGATGGTACCTTCACGACTGCCGGCTCCCAAACAAAGTTGGCAAATGAATCAGCAATTCCACCAGTGTTGATATCTACACCATAAGGTGCACCCTCACCTGTTTACATAAAACTAACATGTAAGAAATCAAAAGATCGCCATAAAAACACCTAAAATAGCATACGAATTACATGGATGGGAGGACAAAGCAGTTCATTGACCTAACCAAAAGAACCATACAGCAAAATATATACTCATATGGAATATTTAAAATGGGTGCTGACCGGATGGAAGAGCATGTTTCTGTCTCAGTTTGTTCAAAACGTCAGTTGCATCAAAACCAGCATTGTCACATAGTTGTCTGGGAATAACCTGCAACAAGGTGGTGAACAATCTTATATCGTACAAATCTATAAACAGTGCTAAATGCACAATCTTATCAGCCCTCGTTAGATAACAGGGGGAAAAAAAAAAGGTATGCTACTATATTACAAAAGAGGACCACTGAACTGTAAATATACACAAAAAAAGGACCATAGTTTCTCCAAAAAATTACTATTACAAAATCTATTCCCCAAAAATAAGGCTCAAATAAATCCTAAATATAACTTTGTTCCTCTCTTCCATCAGAACAATAACTCAAATAAATAAATTGGCAAACCAATCAGCTTAAATGATCAGTAGACCCCAAAACACTTTAACTAACATAAAATGGTAAAATATTAGATATAGCCCGTGTCTGGGACTGCTTATTCTCCGATTTTTAGCCATTTTTCGACCGTTGTAAAGTGCAACACTAAGTGTACATGGGTCCCATACCAGCCACCTATATTGATTGCCTCAGTTGACAGATTACCCAGAAATTTAAGTAGACAACAAAATGACCTATGTGCCATTTTAGCATCTCATTAATTTTCCTTGTCCGACAAGTTGAAGAATAAAAATTGGGGTTCAAATTCTACAGTACCAGACCCAATCGTCGTTTCAAAAAAATCTATTTTCTCATTGAGGTCTCAGACGGGCATAATTGATTTTCAGATACAATTTACTCAAAATCATTTTATGTACTACTTAGTAACATGATATTAATTTGTAGGAGTCCTCATTTCCAATTAGACACTGCTTCTAATTTGTCCGACAAGTTGAAAAATAAAAATTAGGGTTCAAATTCTACAGTACCAGGACCCGATTGCCGTTTCAAAAAAATCTATTCTCTCATTGTGGTCTCCGACGGGCAAAATTGATTTTCAGATACAATTTACTCAAGATCTTTTTATGTATTACTTATTAACATGATATTAATTTGTAGGAGTCCTCATTTCCAATTAGACACCCACAAAAACCATGCATACAAGTTCCTAGAGAAAATGTAAAAAGTTTGCAATATCTACCTCAAGTGCTTTTGCATAAGAGTTTATGAAGAGCTGAGATTTCCCTGCTATTGTGCGTGCATGCTGCCTTAAATATCGACTTATCTCCATCTGCATGCCAAACATCTTAATTAAACATGCTCAAATACATGCATATATTTTACAAGGAGGTGCAGGTTTCCATACATCAATAGCACCGCCACCGGCAACTACAGTAGAATTTTTCAGGGCCCTTCTAACAATCATAATTGCGTCATGCAAACTTCTTTCAGCCTCTTCAATGAACTGACAAGGTAATGATAAACAAAGTTCAATGCTACCATTCAAATAATGCAACAACATGCACGGCATGATAATTACACACCTGATCTGCTCCACCACGAAGAACAATAGTAGCAGTCTGACCTGATGGGCATCCACTAAATATATTGAACCGTTCATTTCCTACTTGTTTCTCCTCAAAAAGCTCACAAGATCCAAGAACCTATTTAGTAGAAAAAAAATACCAGCCTGGATCAGTAGAAAGAACAAATCATCTACTAGAAAGAAAAAAGCTAACTTCAAACCGTTTCCTACGTATCTCCATTTGTCAATTTAAATTAGATCAAAAAGATCAGTGTGTGACCTCGTAAATGATGTTATTAACAGTTGTCTGCACAGCTCCACCAGTAGCAGCTGCAACCCGCTGCAGATCTTCTTCAGTCACACGACCCGCACAAAATATATCTCGGTCTGCAAAATACTGCACAGATAACAAAATAAGAAAAAACAAATTCCTGTGGAAGCCAAAAGTCAATAGCTGAAATAGATCAGTAAACAACAAGTCAAAATACTGTCAGCCATGTTCTAATGTTCTGCAGCAATGCTTACCCTCTCCTATAATTATGACAAAACATACTGTAAAAATTAATTCCAAACAAAGCAAACATCACAAATTCTAAAATCAATATATTGCCCCTATTTGAGCCACGTCTTTTGAGAATAGATTTTGTAAAAAGTGGATTTTTTTGGAGAATACGGTTAAAAAGTACGGAAAAGTTTTGGGTTTTAGTTAAAATAAAAATTATTTTATTAGGAGAACGTGTGTTTGAAAATGAGTTTTAAAGAATGGGGCTCAAACAGGGGCATTATAAAACTTGATATGACACTGTTCTCCAACTCACTTCCATCCAAGGACTACTATTATTAACAGCTCACTGGAAAGAATTACCATGACTCATCATAGTTGAACTCGAAAATAACTGCTATATAAAAGAGTTGAATACTGATGAGTTACATATATGCATCATAACCCCCACACAAAACTACCCATGGTTTTTCAATTTAATAAAGATAAGAAGCCAGCCATGCAATTCTTCAACAAGTTCCAAGAAATTGCTTAAATTGTGCTTTTCTTTGAAAATAGTATATGAAAATCAATTAGTCAGAACCTGTGTGCCCAGATCACCAATAGCAAGTCGTGACAGAACAACTTTGGCTCCACTTTTTACACATTTATCCAACTTGTCGTAAATAATATTCCATTCTGCATCAACAATTGATTGATACTGTAATGGATCAGACAGCCTGTGCAGACAATAAATTGCAAGGAAGGTAAGTCTCTCTCAAAGTTAACGTGAATAAAACTGCAAGAGATAGATGAATCTAAATGAGGGCTAAAAATTCAACCTTATCTCTGCATTTTCTTTCTCGGATTTTAATTCCAACTCTATATTCAGCAAAAGTATTTTGGGATTCACAAATTTCTTTGGTTGCTGTTCAAAACCAGCATACGAGAATGTCTTTTTGAAGGCAACGCCATTTACAAGAAAAGAGTCCCTCATGTTACCTCCAGGAACCTAAAAGATTAAATAAGTATGAAAATATATATACATAGAGACTCACGGTGGGAGTACAAAGTAAGAGGGGAGAAGATTCATGATCTTCTAAGAAAAACTCCATTTGACAGAAAATTCTGAAGATTAGAAATGGGATTGTAAGAGACTATATCGGATGTGGCAAATATAGAATATCGATCCCAACTATGCCAAATTTGGTTTAAAACCCCTTGTAACCACCAACATAGATCCAAAAATTCAACTATTAGCCCAGAATCAGAAAAGTAAAGAATACACATAACAAAAGCAACCACTTGTCTAGAATTTAGGGTAAATATATCGAACATACAATCTCCACTAGTTCTAAACAATAATAACAAAACCATATAATTACAGCCCTTGTTTGATCCCACTATTTCCAAAATACATTTTCCTATCTCATTTTCAACCACACATTCTTCCATAAAATAATATTACGCGTAAACCCAAATTTTTTTCTATTTTTTAACCACACATTCTCCATCAAAATACTATTCCAAAATACATTTTGGGCAAAACAAATGGGGTTCAAACAGGCTCTTAGATACATTTCCATGACCCACAATAGAAGTGAATCTCTGGTTTTTGAGCCTCAAAGTGAAGTTCATTCTCAGGCTTGTATCTTTACAATATATACAGGTGCACAGTGCTTCCACGATCCCATCATTTGTATTAAATCATTATATAGAAATTGTAGAAAATTAGACTCTGGTCTTGAGGCAGTTTCCATGAAAATGTTAATGTGTAATGCTATATTAGTGATATTTCCTCCCTGTAAATCATGGCTTTAGGAAAACAAAATAAAGGAAAATTTTGATAGACTCTGAAAGTGCCCTTTTGAGTTCTTAGTCGTACCCCATTCTGTCGAGAAGTAGACACATAAACCTTGATTTTTGTAATTCATTGCACTGATCATTTAATTTTCCCATTCCTGTCGTTCGAACTTCTAGACATCTGAGAAGATATCTTTACCTAAGTCCCAGGTGAAAAATTAAAAGACTGACATTTTCAAGCAGACAGCACACTTGTATGAAGAAATGATTAAATCATTAAATTACAAATATGTCCATTCTCCAATATTTTGGTGTGTTCCTGTATTATGCAAGACAAACAGATGAAGTGGCATACGTAATACAGAATGCGCCACCATTACACAGATATATCAGGAAATCTAACATGAAAATTCATTGTTTCAATGTACGAGCATAATAGAATTTTGCCCATGTTTGGTTTAGCTAAAAAAGATGATAAAAATCCAAGTAAAAGTAATTTTAACCACATATTTCAAGTACCCACAACTTTTATCAGCTTTTCAACCATACATTTCATCAAAATTTAATCAAAATCTACAAAATTCGATTTTCAGCAAAACCAAACAGGGGCTATATTAGTTGTTTATATCATGCTTAAAATGACAAATCTTGATACGTATGCATAAAAGTAGGGCTGGGCAAAATGTCCGAACCGAACCGGAACCGAACCGAGCGGGTTTTTTAAAATGAAATACCCGAACGGGTATCCGAATCGAGAACCGAATGATTTCTAAAAGATTAAATAAGTATGAAAAAATATATACATAGAGACTCACGGTGGGAATACAAAGTAAGAGGGGAGAAGATTCATGATCTTCTAAGAAAAACTCCATTTGACAGAAAATTCTGAAGATTAGAAATGGGTTTGTAAGAGACTATATCGGATGTGGCAAATATAGAATATCGATTCCAACTATGCCAAATTTGGTTTAAAACCCCTTGTAACCACCAACATAGATCCAAAAATTCAACTATTAGCCCAGAAGCAGATCAGTAAAGAATACATATAACGAAAGCAACCACTTGTCTAGAATTTAGGGTAAATATATCAAACATACAATCTCCACTAGTTCTAAACAATAATAACTAAACCATATAAACACAGCCCTTGTTTGATCCCCACTATTTCCAAAATACATTTTCCTCTCTCTCATTTTCAACCACACATTCTTCCATAAAATAATATTACATGTAAACCCAATTTTTTTCTATTTTTTAACCTCACATTCTCCATCAAAATACTATTCCAAAATACATTATGGACAAAAAAAAAAAAGGGGGGTTCAAATAGGCTCTTAGATACATTTCCATGACCCACAATAGAAGTGGCATTCCGTATTCAGGCAAAGACAAGTGAATCTTTGGTTTTTGAGCCTCAAAGTGAAGTTCATTCTCAGGCTTGTATCTTTACAATATATACAGGTGCACAGTGCTTCCACGATCCCATCATTTGTTTTAAATCATTATATAGAAATTGCAGAAAATTAGACTCTGCTCGAGGCAGTTTCCATGAAAATGTTAATTTGGAATGCTATATTAGTGATATTTCCTCCCTGTAAATCATGGCTTTAGGAAAACAAAATAAAGGAAAATTTTGATCGACTCTGAAAGTACCCTATTGAGTTATTTGTCGTACCCCATTCTGTCGAGAAGTAGACACATAAACCTTGATTTTTGTAATTCATTGCACTGATCATTTAATTTTCCCTTTCCTGTCGTTCGAACTTCTAGACATCTGACAAGATATCTTTACCTAAGTCCCAGGTGAAAAATTAAAAGACTGACATTTTCAAGCAGACAACACACTTGTATTAAGAAATGATTAAATCATTAAATTAGAAATATGTCCATTCTCCAATATTTTGGTGTGTTCCTGTATTATGCAAGACAAACAGATGAAGTGGCATATGCAATACAGAATGCGCCACCATTACACAGATATATCAGGAAATCTATCATGAAAATTCATTGTTTCAATGAACGAGAATAATAGAATTTTACCCATGTTTGGTTTAGCTCAAAACGATGATAAAAATCTAAGTAAAAGTCAAAAACTAATTTTAACCACATATTTCAAGTGACCCACAACTTTTATCAGCTTTTCAACCATACATTTGATCAAAATTTAATCAAAATCTACAAAATTCGATTTTCAGCAAAACCAAACAGGGGCTATATTAGTTTTTTATATCATGCTTAAAATGACAAATCTTGATACGTATGCATAAAAGATTTAACGACCGAGAAGAAATGGGGATGGGATGCCATCAAATTTCAGCCACGCACTCTTAGCATGATGTTTTGTTTATAATATGGCAACAGAACATTTAAAATAAGTAACGAACAGATAAATTTGAAATTAAATTTTAGACACTTATACCTTCTTAATCCCAATCATATTCAGTCTATCCTCATTTCCAATTGTGATGACAGCATCCACAACCATTGATGCAAAGAATTCCTTCTCACCCCCAATGAGCTTTGAGGAAAGCGTTGTAGCAGCACATTTGCCTAACAAACTCTTCTTTTCTTCTAAACTTTTTCCCTCTATGCTAGCAGCTAATTCTTTGATCTTCTCAATGGCCTGTTGTGGCACACAAAACAACACCAACAAAAAAAATGCTTAGTTATTCATCAATTCCCGAGCGCAAAGAAGGGAATAAATATGAATCCTCACCAATTGAGAAGCTGTCCGATAACTCCGTATAAGACTTTGAGGATGAACTCCATCTTCAATAAAAGGCTTGGCCTCCTTCAAAAACTCTCCAGCAAGCAGAACTACTGTAGTGGTTCCATCACCAACCTGCAAAACCAGATAATAGGCAACTCTCATATAGACATCTAAATGAAAGGTCTAACTTAGAGTCATTCTTATATGCAATTGGCTAAAGCACACAAGGGTTGAAACTAATTTTCTGAACTTGCAGCCTCTAGTGTCTAATCAGTACATAAGTGCAAAATGTAGCATCACTACATTTTTAAATTCAACTTTTTTCTTAAACAACTGACATGTTTGTTTTGGGGGAGAGGATTAGAAGGGAACAGGAACAAGAAAACGATGAAAACAAGAAAATAATACTATGATTGCAATACCTCAGAGTCTTGAGACTTGGCAATGTCGACAAGGATTTTTGCAGCAGGGTGTACAATGTCAAGAAGCTTCATTATTGTGGCACCATCATTAGAAATAGTGGTATTTCCCTTCTCATCATGTATCAGCTTGTCCATACCCCTTGGACCGAGGGTGGTCCGAACCATATCTGCCACAGCCATGCAGGCATTTATATTACTTATTAATTGTGGTTTCCCTTGGGATGTATCTGTACCCTCCTTCAGCAGAATTATTTGAGGTTGCTGCCATTTTGACCATCATCATCAACAAATGATTAGTGTTGGTGTTGGTGTTGAAGAGAACGGGGATAAAGAGAAGAAAAACTTGGAATTTGCTATGGATACAGTTTAGTGGGAAAAAAAGATTTAAAAAAAGGACAAAAATGACAATTTAACTCTATCTCACATAAATTAAAAACAAGAAAATCTGTAAAAAAGGATGAGGTCGTATAAATATAAAACTTAAAAACGATATATTTGAGTAACACATTACTTTGGTCTCTGAAATTGCTTCATAGAGTCTGCTCATTCTTTATGTTCCTCCCATTTTTACTGTGATTCAGAACAAATCAATATTTATGTGTACACTTAATTTTCTCACTTGATTTCTTTCTCCATCAGACCTCAGATTTTATCAAGTGCTATGTATTTACTATTTAAAAAGGGGTTGCTCGGTTCCCAGAAAAATTGGGGAAACCGATAAAAAGAATATTATTTTTCCAAAACTTAGAATTTGAATGTCTACCAGAAAATGCAGTCTTTAGATGTTAATAAATAGAAAACAGAAAGTTACAGCTAGAATAATTGTAAGGACTACGTTTTTCCTATTTCTTTAGAATTTAAAGTTGAATTGCAGACCTTAATACTTGCCCAAACTCAATCTAAACAAAATGGCAAAACATCAAACAAAAAACTACTTCTGTTTCTTAAATTTTTCATCAATATTTGAACACCATTATCCCAACATCAAAGTAGAAAAGTAAAGGAGAGAGATTTCAACTTTTCCACTCTTCGGTTACATTTTCACTCTAAACGCGCACTCCTGACAACTCAATATAGTTTTCTGAAAAAAAAAAAATTTAACTTATCTAAAGATCGACTTAAAACAACAGTAGTCTTGGTTTCAAACAACTGCAGTAGAAAAACATGCAGAAGCATCATTTATTTGAGTATGATACAGAGAAATAACGGGAAACACACACACATATATATACAGACACGAAGACACATATACGGAATTCGTGTGTCTTATAGCGATATAGTAAGAAGTAGATAGATCGACCTTACCATCATAGCTGCCATTATTAGATGGGAGCTTAGAGAGAAAGTTCTAGGGTTTTAGAGTCTTTCTTATGGAGGTTTCCGCTTCTTGTTTTTGTTTTGGAAACTTAAGGGCGTGTTTGCCTGGGGAGAGTGAGAAAGAAGAAGAAAAAGAAAAAAATAAAAGTTGTCATTTTAATTGCAATACAGTTGTCATATTTTGCTCATTTTTCACTTATAAAAAGGATGAACCGCATCCTTAGCGGCCCTCATCTGTCCTGCCCTGGGCCTTGGTGAAGGAGGTAAATCGCAGGTTATGCCTCGAAGGGTACATGGTGGAAGGTTACTTGTACACTTGCACTTACCCAAGAGCCAAATCCATATTTCAGGATTCGAACCCTTGACGCGGCAGCCTCAAGCAAAGCTGGAGTTCTTCCACCTTCCAAGATTAATTATTTTTACTAACTTAATTAGAGTTTAATTTGTTACTTATTACAAGTAGAAACGTTACCGTTTCAACATAAATCATAAAAAAAAAAGAGAGAGGAAAAAATATCTTCGTCACTTCCTTCACTCCACGAGCTCCTCTCATTCTCTCCTTTCTAGGGTTTCTTCCCCTTCCGCCTCTCGTTCTCTCCTTCCTAGCGATTTCTTCCCCTTCCGCCTCCGGTAAAGTGTTGACACTCAGATTCTTCTTCCGTACAGTTCCACCTCCGGCTCTCCTGTGGCTTCAATCTTCTATTGTTGTGTGTTTATAGTGTGTGAACATTTGGTACCGTTTTCGTCTTTCCCTTCCGCCTCCGGTAAAGTGTTCGAACTCAGATTCTTCTTCCGTACAGTTCCACCTCCAGCTCTCCTGTGGCTTCGATCTTCTATTGTTCTGTGTTTGTAGTGTGTAAAAATTTGATACCGTTTTCATCGCATCGCTTCACTTCGCACGCTCGTGTCCTCTCCTTTCTTAGGTTTCCTTCGCTTCCGCCTCCGGTAAAGTGGTCGAACTCAGATCGTCCTTCCGTACAGCTCGACCTCCAGCTTTCCTGTATCTTCGATCTAATAGGTTTGTGCATTTTCTATTGTTTTGTCTTTGTAGTGTGTGGAAATTTCCTGTAATTATTTACGGATGTACACATATTTCGTCGATTTCATTATGGGTTTTAAAACATTTCATTTATCTGCAGCTTGTGTTCTCATTGGATCGCGTATTTGGGTAACAAATCATGGGTCATTGAAGCTGGGAAGTTGCTGCTCCTGTGACTAGAGAGACGAAGAGAGATAGAGAGAGATGAATAAGAAACTTGGAGGGAAGCAACCCACGGGAACTCCATCATTGGCATGGTCGTGTGTTGTTGTCTTAGTGTCACTTCTCACTGGCGCTTCTGTTGTGCANTCAGACGTGTGCGCTTGCCCTACGTTTCTGTACTTGATAACAATTAGCTTTGCTGTAAGTGATTCAATTTTTGTGTAGGTAGTTTGTCTTTGTGATGGATAATTGATTTGTGAATTGTTATTTATGAGATTTAGTTTGGGAATTGGGAACTTCATCAAAAATTAAAATTAGAGACAGTATTATTAGGCAATAATGATTATCTCTGTACTTTGTAAACCCCCCCCCCCCAACCCAAATTTTCTAATTTTGGTGCTTCTGGGTGGTCGGCAGAATAGCTGAACTTGTTTATTCTTAATTTTGTGCTTCTATTACAACTTTGTTCATTAACATATTGTTAGGGAATGTAATTTATTGGAATAAGCTTTGTGGTCCATTTCATTGGTTATTGAAATTCTTCGATAGGGAAAGTGGTAAAGAAGTTTGAGTGTCCCCACTTGTTTCTTCTGATGCGGAACAAATTGTAACAACTCTGCTCTAATAGACAATATATTTTTTGTTTCCCTATGTTAGCTGGCCACAATGTAACAATAAAACTGGTAGAACTAGAATTTATTGTCAAATCAAATTCTTAGACCACTTTCACATAATGAAGTTCAAAGATCATCTACTTGTGGTTACAGAGTTACTTGAAGAATAGGTGGCAGAATTATGTGTATAACTTTGTCCATGGATAAAGGACTTGCTCCTTTTAATAGTCTAATATAGAATTATCAATCACGTTCTTTCATTCATGTGCAGATGAAACTTTACTTTCTGGCAAGCAAAATATCCAATTTATGTGATGATGTGAAAAAGAAGTGCTGTGAACTTCAGACACTGCAAGGAATAGTGACTTTATACATGATCGTTGAACCTCAAGTAAGGGATCATCACACTTATGAGTTTCTTCCTTATCTTGTGTTGTAACTTCAGACACTGCAAGGAATTGTGACTTTATACATGATCGTTGAACCTCAAGTAAGGCTTCATCACACTTTTGAGTTTCTTCCTTATCTTGTGTTGTGACTTTTATCTTAAAAGGCATATTAATTTCTCTGTTCATCGTCTGAAATATACTATACATGCATATTTCTATTCTAGACTGCAATCATGAAACAGATATTCACTCTTAAGAGCTTTCCTTGATATACTACTAAATCCTAGATCAACTTTCTATTATATGTATAAACACTGCTTTCTTTTTAATTTACTATTTTACTCTGCATTTTGGGCACTTAGTAAGATTCGATGCTTGTTGCAGATTACTTCGTGTGTTGTCGATTACCAGTATTCGTTACACGGGCTGTCGGTGAATTCCAATGAGTATGGGCTTACAATGTCCGAGGTTTGGCGATTAGTTTTACACAATGTTATGCTCATTCTTTTACTTGAACTTTTCTTTTACTTGAATGGATTCTCTGATGCACAATTTTTTTTTTTTTCAGTAATCATGTTATTTTTTGAAGTTCAAATCTGTGTATTTTTCGTTCTCCAGTGGGATTTTTATGATTGTTCACGAAATAGATCTTAAATGAGAACATAGATTTTTTATGTTTAATTCGTTCAGATTCAGTGTGCAGGAAATAGAACAAGACTGTTGTTGGGTGGATACTCTTGTGTGTCTATTTTAGGAACATCAAGAAGAAAGCCAATGGGAGCTAGATTGAGTGTGAATAATACAAAATATTTATCAGCTCTTGACAAAGTATTCCTATCATCCTTGATTAGCTTTCTCATGATTTTAATTTTTACTTGCATTTCTTTAATTTAGTAGCTTACGTGATTATATGCTAAATGTGATAAGAATCGATCATGAATTAAGAGTGGCAAGTTATGTGGTTGAGGCATACATTTTTGTTTGCTTTATAATATTTCGCACACCCACTTTTTTTGCTTCAATTTTTTTCTCGAGGTGGGGTCTTCCGATTATTTTGGATTTAATTCATTTAACTACCATCTTTAATCTTTTGTTGTTAGTATAACTGGGGTCAATGGTGGTGGTGCTGTGTTATACCTCCATACATGTGCAGTGTTCTATTGGTGTTATGTGGGTTTTAACATATAAGTTATTTTTGAGCTTTTCTTTGCATCTTTGCTTTCTGTTTTTCTAGAAACTTGTAGTTTTCGTTATAGGTTTATCATTATTGTTTTCTAAAATTTTCTGATCTGGTTATTGCAAATTTGATGTTTTTGCTGTACTTTAAAACATCCAGTAAAAATTCTTGAATCTATCGATTAATACACTCACCATACACTTATCACTTAATCATCTCAATTGTTATTTATTGATTATTGGATCTGATTTGTGTTTTCTTTTACTTGTTCATCACATTTTTTTTTCCATTTAGATAATCAATGGGTCAAGATGCAGGGATGCAACGATTCGATTTGCAAATTTCTTTGTTATTTCCCTGTCTATTGGATTCTGGATCTTACATATGTCTATTATTATCTTTTATGTTATTATAGTTTAGAGGAGGAAAAGATCAGATATGGGTAATTGTGTTTAATTAAGGATTTCTTAACTATGGTATAATTCTCAATTTTTTTTCTCCATTCTATTTACACGATAATCTCATTTTGCATTATGCATTTGAATTAAATATTTTTAGCAATTTTTAGCGTCGTGCACTTTTTTTTAGATTTCCAAAGGGCTTTTGCTGTTTGAATCATATGCTGGTAAATTCTCCACTCATCAAGGGTTTATCCATTTTTGTGATTAATTGAATCCTACGTGATTCGCTTGCATTTTTTGGTCTTTATTTAGAAAGATAAAATTTTGGATTGTTTTTGGACAAAAAGAAAGATAAAATCTTGGATTGTTTTTGGAAGAAAAGAAATTAGAACATTTGAAATTTTTGACATTTTACATTGGGCAATGATTTGCAATATTTTGTAAAACTTAAATGATAAAGCTTTAGATGACCAATTTTACACACAAATATGCAAGTGTTTGCACCTTCTAAACTTTGATGCTGGGGTTTATGGTGGCCATACTTTTCTGGTCATATATATTCTATTTTTTGTTGTCTGTCCGTGTAGCAAAACGGGTTTTTTGGTACGAAAAGAAACCAAAAATATAGATACCATTTTGCTATTTGGAAAAGGGGTTTCACATTCCGTGGGGATATAGAATTTTAGCAGCTAAAGAGTCATGGACAAGAGATTCTTTTATCTTATTGAGCTGCACCAATTTTAGTTTGTCGCGGAGCGCCTTGGAGTGTTTTATTTCCAGAATCTTGGAACCGTCGATTCGGGTTGTATTTTGTCTCACATAACGTGGCATATTCTGAGGCATTTTGACCCCTGTCAAGTTTGTTTGAAATGCTTTCACACGTTGGCTGCAAGGGCTAACATTAGAGTCAACCAAGTTCTTGCTCTGGTGGCATGTAGATCCAAACAGTTTAAAATCAATGTTCTTTATTTGAAACATTAATAGAACAGTGATGGGGACTGCCCTCCTGCTCTGAGGTTTGTGTCGCTGTCTTCTTTATGTTCCAAAAGTTTTTGAAATACTAGCTGATGTTTTAATATTGTATTGTTGCTTTGGAGATGCAGATTTGTGACCGGAAGCTCAGATGTAGGAACCATAAATGCCCAGCTCCATGTCTTAGGTAAAGTCTGTTGTGATGAGTTCTGTGCAATGCTTGGAATAAAGTTTCGTAGTTAAACTATTTCAAAGTTCGTTCACATATTTTTCTAATTCTATTTTTATTTCTGAATTTCTTTTGGGTATTTGTAATTGTAGTTTAGCAGTTCATTAATTGTACTTTTCCTGTTGTGTAATGTTTACAGCACGATCTTACCTGCCCAGTGAAGGCAAATTGTTCATTTTGGACACTAGGTACTTTCTTATGGTTAAATAGTTTTCTGCATAATATGCCAATGGGTGATTTTTTTTTTATCTCAATGCTTCTTATTTATGTGATTGCATCGCATTAATAACTCGGACATGACATTTATCACAATGGATTGTTGTTTTCCAGTTATCAATTTGGGTTCATGTTTCTCTGGAAGTTCTTGATAGATATATATGTGCTTGAATATTTTTGTAAGTAATATCGAGGATCGTTTGGATGGAAATAGACAACTATGGTTGATCATGCTAGAAGAATGAGTGGGTTTAATGTGCTAGAAACTTTGTTGTAATGATAGATTGTAGCTTTATCTGCTTGCTTTACATATGTTTGTTTATTTGACATCCTTGCACTCAAGTCATTACATATGTTATCATGATCGAACTTGGAAATCCATGTCGTCCATGTTCAAATATGGCACTTACTACTTACCGTTACCTTCTTGTGCTGCTTATCTGAAGATGTCGCTCTTAATCCTTTTTCTTGTTATTTATCATTAGATCTTAGCTTGTAGCTTCTATTTTTTATTTTACCATATTCTACAGTTTACTTGGTTCATTTCACATTTTGTTCACATGCAAAAATGACATTAGGTAGCCCTAACCCACCCTATATTCCAAACATGTCTTCCAAGCAATTGTTAATATGGTGCTTCTCCCTTCNACTACGATTGAATTTAATAATAGTTTCTTGTAGCAGGAAAATGAGATAATCAACTTATCATGTCTTTCAGACTTAATGGGATAGTGGAATGTGGTGAGCGGCATGACCACATATATAGAAGAACTATGCTCTTGGTTGAACAAGTTAAAGTTAGTCAAGGAAGTCCTATTGTTACTTGTCTTCTTGAATGGCCAAGTGGCAGGTTAATAGTGTCATTTTGGATTCAATGTGTTTATTGCCTATAATTTTCTAAATTTTATTTCTTTGTAACGATGGTGAGACTGCAATGGCAGCAACTATTGGTATTGAAAGCGATTTTCCATATGTCAAGATCGTAAGTGATTTCTCATGCTCATGCTGAGCATTTATATATATATTTTTTCATTTTTTCCTATCATATTCTTATTCTTTTATATTTTTCTGATTTCAATTTGTTTGTTTGTTAGATATTTGTTGAATCAATGATTCGGCTTAGTAAAGGAAGTAAATGTGCTTAGATTGTCAAGGTTCTATGTTTGGACATAATTTTCCTCCAATTTGTGAAGGATGTCTTGCTTGTTTTTATCTTAAAGCATTTATATGATTCCAAAAATATCTATAGATAAAATGAGCTAAGCCTTATATTCAAGAAACTTGCCGTCAGGTATATGAATCATTTGCTAGAGATGTCCAAACCATTTTAATCGTTTTTTTTTTTAATAAATCCTCGATTTGTGCCCCCTAGGTATACCTTCATTTCCTTTTCTCTCATTCTATTTTGGCTGTACATCTTCTTAATGTTCTCTAGAATCTTTTGGCTTGATAGATATATTTTGGTAACATTAAAGTAAATGTAACTTGTATGCATAGGGTTGAGCTATGTCATTTGATACATTTTGTGATTGGTATTCAAGGATGCTTATAAGTCACCACTAAGCACAATTATCCTTGATGATATTGAAAGGTAACTACTGTGGACTCTAGATAAATAATTTATTGATTTTTTAGCATTCTTGTCTAATCTTTGTTTGCCAATAGACCTTAAGACCTTAAGACCACTAAGCATCCTTGATGATTATTTAGCATTCTGAGGGTTTAATCATACTAATAGACCTTAGGACTCCAAAAATAATTCAATTTCAACTCATTATTTCATCAAGTTGCAATTTGATCAAATAATGGTCCAATTCCTAGCAATCAATGATCAATAACGGGAAATGTATCTGGTGCATAGTGTGTGTTGTGTTTAATTTTCATGTTATTAGACTTGTTCAAGATGTCTTTTGGTAAGCTTCCAAGATTGAACTTTTTGGTTTATCTTTTGGAATTAATTGATGATTGTAGGTTTTCAGTCAAGAATGATTGTTTAGGTTTACGGTACTTGATTAATCTTTAGCTTTGATTGATTTTCTCGATCTTGGATTTTTTTCATCAGTAAGCAAAAAGAAAAAACATTTTTGTCGTTCTAATGATAGGTTATAATTTATTTTATATATTTAATGAGTTCAACCATGTGGTATTATCAAATTGTTTCTATGAACAGTTGAAAAACCGAATTATCTCATATGGCCTATTACTGAATGGTATTTGATCATTTTTCACTTGGCCTACACTTCAGCAACATGAGTTTTTGCTGATTTCCCTGAAGTGAGATCCTATTATAATTTCTTCAAATGTCATTGTTTTATATTTTATGTGTTTAATGTTAGAATTACCTTCCAGAATTTCACATTACATCAAATTTGTCATTAGTAAACTCAAGTTTTAATTTAGGCAGCCTCATTTTCTGCATTTTCTTAGGGAAGCTATGGACAAGATCTGAATCTTATGGTATTTTATTTATTGAACAAAAAGAACAGGTAATAGTCAATATCATTTCTCTAATATTTTATATTCCATTTCTGATGTAACAAGAGAACTTATATAGCTCTTGTAAGTGGTTTAGTACTCAGCACAAATGAACAGGTACAATTCTTCTAAATTTTATTATCGTTTCTAATTTAATTTATGTTTGCATGAATTAGTATCCTCATTCACTATTTATTTTAATAATAAATAAATCAAATTCTAAGCTATTTTCAAATCCATTTTTTATTTTTCCGTATTTCTTTTTCATTTTTTTTATAATTTATCACTATACTCTTTTCTTCATTTTCCAAAGCGTTTAAGTATAGTTTAAATTGATACATATTACTATAGTCAAATCTACTAACAATCACGTTTTATTTAGTTTACAACATATCTAACATTGTATTTACTTTTAGAAGGAAATTACTAATAAATAAATATATATTCTGCATTGCCCATTCTTTTCTCTGTCTTCCAGATTTTCAGCTGCCAACCTTTCTGCAGAAACTTTTTTCTCTTTCATACACTGCACATTAACTTATACCATGCACTTTGTCAGTGTACTATCTGATATGATGTGTATATAAAAATCTCTTCCACAGATTTCTACTTTCTTTTTTATGGTACAGTATCACAACATGTACTATATAGTAATTATATAACTTCAAAGTTTTTTTTTACTTGTTATATAAAGCCAACCACTCACAACAGAGAAAATATTGCTTCTGTCTTCCTTCTTCACGGTTCTACTTCAATATCAGGTTTGTAGTTTTGTTCTTGTTTAACTCAAAACATATTATTGTTCTTTAGTTCGTTTTTTCCCTCCTTTTATCTCCATGCTACTAAGGTTATTATAGCTTATAAAAAGACAAACAAACAAGAAAAAGAAAAGAAATTACTGTTGTGTTTCTTCATTTTTTCCTATTCTATATCAAAATTCTAGGCTATATTTCTCTTGTTTGTTTTAGCTGAAAAACACTTCTATTTTGTTTTAAAAAAATCATTCTAACTACTAAGTTTTATTAATACATATTATTAAACCATCCGCACATAACACAAAAAATGTTCCTTCTGTCTTCCTTCTTCACAGTTTTGTTTTGATTATCAGGTTTATATTTTTGTTCTTATTTAACTCACTTACCTCTCAAGTTCTTTTTTTTACTACTTAAGTTATAGCTTATAGAAACAGAAACCAAAAGTAAAAAATGACAAAATATTGCTGTGTTTCTTCATATCCTATTCTATGTCAAGATTCTATACTATGTTTTTCTTATTTGTTTTAGTTAAAAAACAAACACTTCTATTTGTTTTTAAAAGGTGCAGTGTAAAGTATGTTTTGTGTTCACTTACCAGCCACATTTTTCTAACATCTCTTTGCTTCTACCCAACTAATACAGAGTAACATCATGAATCAAAAAATCAGTCTCATCACTGACATTAGCCCCGGCCAAAGAAACTGGACGTCCAAAGTTGTAGTTGCTGAAAAAGCACCTCCAAAATTATCACAAAATGGCCAGACCAGATACCAACACATGATCCTCATGGATGAAAGAGTAAGTTTTAGTGCAAATCGTCATTTGGTAATGAATTTATTATTTTTTATAGTAACAACATCGCTCTGCACTTTCCATTACAACATCTGTTACTATTATGTATACATATTGAGAAGTGAACTTAGACCAAATCTGTAATTTTTAGATTATTAGAGTTAATATAGTTATCTACTTATCTCTATAATAAAGAAAACTCACTTACAAATCATTTACTGCAGGGTAACAGGGTGCAGGCTACCCTATGGGACAACAATATTGCAGCCTTCAAAGAAGATCTCAAAATTGGAAAAACCTACTTAATCTCAAATGCACCTGTGAAACATACAAAAGTAGGGTACAAAAATGCATATGGAGACACTCAATGGACCATTTCAGGTGCTACTCGAGTGGAAGAAACAAATGAAGATCACAGCGTACAACTATTCTCCACTTTCCAGTTCACCCCGTTTAACGAATTTGAAACTGTGATGGATACAAACAAAGATTTAAGTACAGCTTACTTTCTCTTTTTCCTTTTTAATTTCACCAAATTTCTTTTATTACATTTACAACAAAACATGAATATCTACTTAAATATTTATATTTGTTATTGCAGATGTGTTAGCAGTTGCCATAGACTTACGCCCTAAACGTCTAATCCACATGAGAGATGGTTCAGAAACATATGTGCAGGAAGTTGTACTAATTGACAAGGAGTTAATAACATCTTCTTTATTCATTTTTTTACACGTCACATTTCACACAAAACAATATTATGTCGTAATTACTCCTCCAAACTTTCAGCTTCCAAACAATTCTACTGACAATGTGGGATGCCTTTGTTGAAAGGGAGTGCTCTACAATTGCACAGAATATATCTAAGAAACCAGTGCTTATAGGACTCCACTTGAAAGTATCTTCATTCAACGGTAATTATATTAATGCTTTCTCATTGCAAATAAATTTGTCCTGTAGTTCACCTTTAATTGTATCACAGTACTTCACACCTGCAAGTGAACATGGCTGCCAATATCTTACCATCTTCTTGCTATATAGAATGCTTACTAATGTATGATTTTTTTTTTTAGGGCTGACACTATCCACAAGAACACACAGCTGTTTCTTCATTGATCATAAATTTAAGGAAGTGGATGAGATGAAATTATGGTAAGTAATCCAATTTACTTCATCTGTATTAATTTTATAGAATTCCTGTAATAAAACATGTCTCCAATATCACACTTTCTTTAGCTATACAGTATTTTATATAATTATATTGCATTAGTAACTTCCAATGTTGAACATTAACTTGCACGTCCTGTAAATGACATTCATATGTCAGATTAGTTCTATTATGCTTACCTTTAACTTTCACATCCCGTACATGACATTCATATATGAGATTAGTTTAATTTTGCTACCTTATCTCATCCCATGCCACGTTGTGCTAAGCAAACAGCACAGTTCGTTTCTGTTACAAAATAGCGCACAAAAGCTAACTATTACCTAAAATAGGCTGTAGTACTTACTCTTTTCTCTTATCTCTTACTTATAATTCTTGGCGTAAAGGGCTCTCAACAATAGTGGAAGATTAAATGAAATCACTGCAATGAAAGCCTATCTTTTGTTAAGTCCTTCAAAGTTGTCACCTCCAGCTGCAAACAGATTTACTCAAATTCTGGAAATCCAATCTTCAGTTCTCGAAGTAATGTTTTTATTCTTATGTTTCAAATTCATTTCATTATTTTTTTACATCAATATGATCACATAGCTTCACTAAACTTTCCTTCATGTACTTTCAAAGAACATATATTTCTGGGTAAAAGCAAAGGCACACGTTCAGTCTAAGAACACAAGCTTCTGGTACCTGTCATGTAACAACTGTAACAGGGTTTCCAATGCCAACAAAGCAGGAGAAATGTACTCCTGTAGATTTTGCAAATCTAGCAACTCAATTGCATCTCCAAGGTACGCACTTCATCCTTCAACACACTACACAATAATTTCAACCACTTCATTTCTTTTATTCAATTCGAAGTTGATAGTAATGTTCTTATCACGTCATTTTCTTCCACCATAAATTTCCAGTTTCACTAACATCTATTTTTACTACAGAGCCAGAGCTGATGTAATCTTGGAGGATTCAACAGGCAATCTAAAAGCTTCAGTCATGGGTGAATGTGCTGAGAAAATCTTGGGTTGTCCTGCAAATGTACTCATGAAAAAGCATGCCAATGTACCAATTCTATTCAACTTTGTCATTTTCCTTCTCCCTAAAATATATGTTCATTACCATTTTTTTGCTAATCAATTCTCTCATGTTTGTAGGACACTATCCTATCTAATGATGAGGACATTCGCATAGATATTGAGGATGAACATATCTTTTACATTAAAGCACTTCCAATGGCTGCTGGCTCACCCTCAACAAAATGCACTGCTTCTTCAGAGTTCAAATACGAAATAATATTCATGCTTGATCCAGCCGAAACATCTGCTACTCCAGAAATGGTGTCTGGTAACAAGGGAAAGGATAAAATCAATATTGAAGACGTTACACCTTCCAACAAAATTGTGTTGCCTCAGTCTCCACCCGCTAAGCGATCTCTATTCCAAAATCCAGATGAGCAACCCAACACTGCGAACAAGAAAGCAGAAAAAATAGTGGCAGACAAAAACGCAGCTGCAGCTGCCCTCAAAAAACTCCTGTGATGCAGTTTGAACCATGATGAATAAAGTCTTTTTTGGCTATAGCTTCCAATGGAACACTTGCTGTGTTACACTTTGAGAATTTCAAATTGAGAAGTTGTATTTTCTTTTGGACCCCAATCCTCATTCCTGTATGCTTTATAATTACGTTAACTGCTCAAGGAGCTGAATGATTGACAGGGAAATGCTCATCGTGTAACAAGTATTTTTTGTGTGTTCTAATGAAGTATGGTTACTCTATTATTTTCTTTCTTTCTACCAGCAGTTTCCTATTTCGCCAGTCCTCTATTTGCAAACATTTTAGTTTTAAGTACTTATAATATCCAAAATGCTTTCTTTTTCATTTTTAAACAGGAATTTCTTCTTCACTTACATGTCATTCATAACTTTACTTCCATCTATTGATTGTATTGTACATATGCAGTCCCAACGCTAATAAGCACAAGGAGAAAAACGCATGCACGTGCATCGCACGTGCCTCCACTAGTATATATATATATAATTCTTACGTTTTAATGCGTTTACATATATATTAAATAACTTTTAATATTAATAAACGACATCGCTTTTACGATCGCTGATTGTTGACGTTAACCGGTCAACGTCCGCCCGGACTGAACTTCAATGCTGGGTCCGTCCCTGGTCCAATCCAATAGACAATGGTCATTGTTTTGTCCAAATGAGGCTCCTGGGTTGGCTGATTGTTGAGGTGAACATTTTGAGGTTTTATACACCCAATATGAGAAATATGTGCAACAAATAAGTCATTTAGGTCACCATTAAGTGATTTCACAGTGGTTTTATCGGTCTTTCAAATGAAAGTTAATGCTTCATTTAGAGCTTGATGTCATGTGTTAGTACAACTGAGTATTCCATTCAGATCTATAAGTATAGTGTAATTTGTTTGAATGTTGTTAGTTTACAGTTTATTTGATTATATTCTTGGTGATCCTTTGAACTTTCACTGACAAAAAAATTTAAATTGCCTGAAAAAGAACCATGAGATGCAAACTTTAACATGTTTATTGCATAGTGTTTTCATCTGATAAATTGTTAAGCAAATATCAGTACAAGAGGCACTCTGTTTTAATATTTTTCCAAGCTCCAACAAGGCATTAAACTACCAAAAATGCTGAGATCACATGATTCCGATCAGATGATTCCCCCTTATATAAACCTCATGAATATTTCATTCCAAGTGCATGCAATTTAACTTACTCAAACCCTATTGATATTCTCCCGAATATATATTATTTTATAGAGTTTATTATCATATTCTCTGTGGATTCTAATCATGGTATGTGAAAGAAAATCAAGTGCTTTTAGAATATTTGAATAATAATTCCAATTTTCTAATATCTGATCATGGTTGTCACTTTTTTTTTTGAATGTTTTTCACTTTTTTGAATTTCGGTTACTTTTTTTAGTGTGTCACTTTTTTTCCCCTGTCACTTTCTTGAAATTTTCGTTATTTTTTAAAGTGACAAACATCATTTTTTAATACAAGTGGCATTGAATGTAAAAAAGTGACAATGAAACTGATAAAAAAATGATATTGTGCCACTTTTTAATGTAAAAAAATTGTAACGCTTGATTTCGCACAATATTTCACTTTCTTGAATTTTTTGTCACTTTTTTGAGTGGCAATTATCACATTTTGATAAAAATGATATTGTATGTCATTTTTTTAATAAAAATGTGACACTTAACTTTAAAAAAATGACATTTTGTATTTTTTTACTTCTAAAATGCTTTTCATATAATTTTTTAAAACACCTTTAATTTTAGAGGTATTTTAAGTTACCCTAGAGTCTTCTACTGTTGAATGGACTTGTCAATCTGGTGGTCTAAGCCCATTACAATTAACTAAAGGAAAAAAATATGGAAATTAGATCACATACCTATTATTTAATTAATTTTCAATTATTACTTTTTAACATTTTTTTCACTACAAATACTATATTTTATAGTAAAATCAAAACGTGAAAAGATACCTAATTCATATAGACAATAATATTGGTAACAAAATTTACTCCCCAAACATGTCCTGTAAAGTTTAATCACAATTATAAGCCCTAAAATCGTGCCTCTTCACTTTTCAGTCAAAACCTCCACCCAAAATCCTCCCCAACGTGTATGATCCCAAAAAAATCTCAAACTCCTACCAGAGAATGATCTTATACAGGTAAGATATAAAGTTACGTAATCCTTACATTATTCTGAAAGTCAAATCCCCTCTTCTTATTTTTAAGCGTTGGGTATGGATGTATTGAGTAGAGATGTTAATTTTCCTCGCCCCGCCCCATCCTCGTGGGGCCCCGCCCCGTAAATCTGATTCCAAGTTTTTTTTTTTTAAATGGAAACAAATTTCATAATCAATTATATAAAAAAAAAAAAATTCACTTTAATGGACAATTTTCATGTAAAATAAAGCTAAACGAACACTAAATTTTGATAAAAAATGATTTTTCAGGAAAAAAATTTCGTTTTGTTTTTTACTTTTTGACAATTGAAACAAATTTTATAGCCAATAGTGGAAAGAATTATCACTTTAATGAACAATTTACATGTAAAACAAAGCCCAAAATTTTAAAATTTTTCGGGTGGAAAATTATATCAATCAAACACCCTTAATTAACAATTCCCTGCAAAATAATTTCTAGGTAATTACTTTCCCTAAAATTCATTTTCATTTCACCCATTTTTCACCATTTCAATCAAACGGGCCCTAATAGTATCAAGGGCGGACCAAAAAAAAAAAAAATTCAGTACCAGCGATATTTAATAAAGGTTAGAAAATAACGTTCCAATTTTATTTTTTTTGGACTTGGACTACTGACTTGTATTGTTAAATGGGGGCCCAAATTTGCTTGCACTAGACCTTCATTGAGTCTGCCCCTGAATAGCGCGGGGAGAATATTTTGTCAAATTTTATAATTATTATTTTTTTGTTATTTAAAAGTATGATGAGCAAATAAATATTTTATACCATTAGAGACATTGTACCTATTTGGTTTATATAAAATCAGACTGTTAGTAAATTTCAATAAAATTTGATGAAATATGTGGTTGAAAAGTTATGAGTCTTATAGAACTTATGATTAAAATTAATTGTTACTTTTGACTTAAATTTTAATCAAAATTTGTAGTTGAACAAAATATGAACAAGATATGTTAATTAATAGAATAAAGATGAAAATACAACAAAAAACTTGAAAACGTAAGTGTTAAAATGAACTAAAGTTAACAAAATATTTATTACGAATATAATTATCGAGATGAAATGAAGAACATAAAAATTTAGTGTTTCATCGCATTTCAATTTTCATCCTCAACTTTTGCGCAAAGTAGCAACATGTCCAAACCTTTTTCTTACCATCCCCAACATTTCAATAATTTGTACAATTCTTTCCCCAATTACATCGAGCTAATCTGCACTCAAGACCAAGAAGTTTGGGCTAAAACACACCCCTCACAACATCTGGGTTAGTTGGTTAGGAGGTTCAATGACCGATCTATTGATTTCATATCTAAATATGAAATCAAATACCAATGGATATTTTGAAAAATAGAATCATTGGTTCCATCTCTAAGTATGGAACCAAATCAAAATTGAACTGTTTGGTTCTCGACCATCTCGATTCCTTGTATTAAGTTCTTAAATTCTCTAATTCATACAAATGAATTGTCTAATTGTATGTGCCCCTGTTTGAGTTCCATTTTCTTGCCAAAATGTATTTTGAAATAATGTTTTGTTGGAGAATATGTAGTCAAAAAAATAAGAAAAAAATTTGAATTTACGTGTAAAATTATTTTATGAGAGAATGTGTGGTTGAAAATGAGTTTTTAGACTATTTCTTAAACTATCATTGTTCAATATCTAAATTCTTAATTTATTTACTAAGCTCTTGTTCGATCCCCATTTTTTTCAAAATAAATTTTCTTCTCTTCTTTTAAATAACACAATTTTTAATAAAATAATATTACATGCAACTCAAAAACTTGTCCTTCGATTTTTTAGTTGCACGTTCTCCATCAATCCACTATTCCAAAATACATTTTACATTAAAAATTGGGCTCAAACATATCCTAAAACTGTTTATATTGATGCTAATGAATTGCATTTTTCAAGTTTAACTAAACGTGACAATTTACATAAAATATCAACTTGAATGAGTTCTTTAAAAACACGTGTGAATATTACTTATATTTTCTTTATACTTTGAGGGGTCGAAAATGTAACTTGAAAATAATGAAAGGAATCTAAGCCTCTTATTTATCTAAAATTACGTTTATGAAATTTAATTATCCTTTTGTACGAGTTTTATAAATAAACCATATTAAGTTGAATATGAGTTGGATTTATTATGATAAGACTCAAAAGAAAAAAATTAAGCATAAATCGAATTTTTTGGTTTTTAGT